GTACTGATGGATCAGTGTGGGGCGGTGTCAATGAATGGGGTTCAATGTTGGTGAATATATTTTGTGGCTGATTGTCTCATGTACATAGGAGATAGTATGGATAAAAATATCCCACATACAGTAAATATGTCAACAGCAACAGCAGCGGAAACTTCAACAACGCATTTCAAAGCAAGTTTTTTTTATTGTTCCTCACGGGTGTGGTTGTGTACAATATAGATGTTCTAATAGAAGGACATCTTCATGTTATATGTTCTTCCTGTTTTTAGGGTGGAACATGTACCATGTTCCTGCCTGCTGCCCCAACTCCCACTGACAGAAGTACTGGGAGAAGGTCCCCATACAAGCTGTCAGTTTTTCAGAGCACGTGTCATCCATTCGCATTGTTTTGTGAATGAATGAACTGCAAGTCCGGACTGCCTTAGCGGCTATCAGCTTGCAGTCCTCAATGAACTACCATGAAGATGTGGAGCGCTGTGGTAGTTCAATGATTCTTCCTGTCAGTATTAGTGTTGGGCTGAATGTCCAATTCGAACCTAAGTTCAACTCGAACCATGACTATTCGTGTTTTCGCTGAACACATGAATGATGCAGGCTTTTTTGCCCCGCCCCACAATGCACTGTGCCCTGACAGTGCATTGTGATTGGTCAAAGCAATGCACCTGACCAGAGGTCAGGTGCAATGCTTTGGCCACTCACAGCACAGGATGACATCACAAGGGGTGGGATGAACCCTACCCCCTTGTGACATCATGACAGTATTTAAGAATTGTCATTGTGGTACATCTGTCAGGGATCCGGGTATGACCAGAGGTGTGGGGACTGACACAGGGAAACGCAGGTTTCAGGTATAGTAAACAATATAATTTATTAATGGTACAACTCAAATACAAAACCACAATATAACAAAACCAAACCTCCAACTGATAACAGAATGTACACAGACAAGGGCAGTCAGGGCTGGTGAGGTGGAGTGGTCAGGCAGGCCGAGCCCACAGCACGGATTTCCTCAGGGCGCGGGGTCTAAGTCCCAGCCTGCTGTTCACCAGGGCCCCTGATGGTGGGGTGCAGACTAGAACCAGGTCGCGACCCCTAAGTGCGTCTGGCTGTGGTAGAGAGTACTGGCAGGGGAGTGCGGGAACGGAGTCTGATGGGAAGAGGCAGGCAGACTTACTGAAGTGATCCGTGCGGGATGGATGGATCGTCAGGTGAAGTGAGCGTAGTCAGGCAGGCCGGGTCGGTATCGTGCGGGCAGCGAGGTACAAGGAGCAGGCGGAAGCGGAGTCAGGAATAGCCGAGGTCAGGACAGGCAGAGTTCATGCAGGAATAAGCAGGATCAGGCAGGAAGCAGACAGGATGCAGGTACAGGGGCTCATGGGAAACATACACCAAGGCCCTGAACACAGACCTGGCCATTCCTTAAATACACCTGTGTAATCAGTTTCAAACAAAGGCTTCTGTACCAAATATTAACACAGATCTTCTCAGGGGTTCAAATACTTCTGTTCAGCAGTGCGAGACAAATACATTCTTTACAAATCATACAATGGGATTTCCTGAATTTTTTTTTTTAATTCTGTCTCTCAGAGTGGGAATGCACCTACAATGTGAATTTCAGACCCCTCCATGATTTTTAAGTGGGAGAACTTGCAGAATCACAGGGGGTTCTAATACTTCTGTTCCTCACTGTATGTGCAGTAACTCCATAATTATGAAGAACGTTTATTGACACATGATGAACTTTACAAATCAGCTTATTACCATTTTTAAAGTGGTTGCAAAGGCTCAAGGTTTTTTACCTTCATGTATTCTATGCATGAAGGTAAAAAAACCTTCTGTGTGCAGCAGCCCCCCTAATACTCACCTAAGCCCCCTCTCGATCCAGCACTGGAGTCTTGGCTATCCTGGAAATCCCTCTCCTCATTGGCTGAGACAGAAGCTGGAGCTATTGGCTCCCGCTGCTGTCAATCACAGCCAGTGAGCCAATGTGAAAAGAGGCGTGGAGCCAAGCCATGGCTCCATGTTTGAATGGATACACAGAGCAGTGGGTGCCCCCATAGCAAGCTGCTTGCTATAGGGGCATCCTACAGGAGGGAAGGGCCAGGAACGCCAGAAGGGGACCTGAGAAGAGGACTATCCAGGCTGCTCTGTGCGAAATCACTGCACGCAGCAGGTAAGTGTCGGTGTGTTTTAATTAGATTGCATATATAATGATATTTGTATCCCTTGATGAATAAATTGGTAATCGTGTATTAATTACTTATGGTTTGTTTGTAATGCACCTCATAAAAACTCACAGGGCAAATATATTGTATTTATATATATTTGTTTTCTTGTTACAAATAATACATTTTTATTTGGTTTTACAAATATAGTTACAACAAAAAAAACAAAAACAAAAATAGGACAGTGAAAAGCTACATAATATCACAGTATAGGTGTTACGATAAAGTTTAACAAAGAGGAAAAAGGAAATATTGAATCATTCCAAACAGTCCTACTAGTTCCACAAAATAATATTTTTAGAGTATCCAAAAAAAAGGTTAACCTGTTGGCGCCGGCGCCTCCCGGCCCTTTAAGAGTTTCAGAAGTCGGGAGGAGTGGCAGGGTTTTAGGGTCATGTGACTGCCGTGATTCGCCATCACGGTGGTCACATGATCTGAAAAGGTCCTGATCGAAAGGGGAGATCAGGACCTTTCCGGGAGTAGCGGACATATGTGCTGGGAGAGCGCAGGGCGCACGTTCTCAGCACATATGTCTTTTTCAATTGCACGCAAATATGCGTCCGCTCGGTGTCAAGGCCCAGACGCCAAGAGGCCGCATATCTGGAAGCGATTAGCGTCAAGGGGTTAAACATAATAATATCTTAGGTTGCAGTTCTGAACCAGTCGGACCGGGAAGTCCAAGCTTTGTCAGATTTGGTCATTCTCTCATTTAGGTAAGCTAAAGATTCCTCATAGACGAAGTGGGTCTGGACTCGCTCAATGACTTTTTAGGGAAGGGGCGGAGTCTTTTTTCCAGTGTCTAGTAATGGTAATTCTTGATGCTAGAAGAATATGTGTCACTAAGAGTCGATAATGGATTGGATATGTATCTATATTTACATTCAGAATGGCGAGGGTAGGATCAGGTTGTTTTGATATCCCAGTAATTTCCGATATCATGTGGAAGACTTCATGCCGATAGCTTCTAATATGTTTACATGTCCATAATATAGGTAATAGAGTACCAATCTGACTGCAGGTTCTCCAGCATTGAGGACTAGGTTGTTCTGAGAAATTGGCCTATTTGTATGTATTTGTTGATGTAGGGATGGAGGAGCATTACTAGACGTCCTGGATCACAATACAATTTATAGTATATGCTTGCTAGGATATAAAATGACAGAAAAGTGTTTTGGATGAGACTTTGAATGTGAAAATGACCTTCAGAGCTCTCAAATGACCTCTCAAATGACCCCAGGAGTCCACCACTAAAGAATGGCCCCAGCCACCGCACCGGCCACACCCTCTTGGAGGGCATGGCTGGTGCAAATGATGGCACAATTCCTCAGCGTTGGACTCCTGGGGTCGGTTGAACAGCGTCCATCCCTTCACTTGTATTGGCTGACTCTGTAATCACTCGGACTCATGCTCCCCTCTTCTCACTTGCCGGTGGGGGGGGGGATCCTTTTCCTTCCATCCATAGCTTGGAGCGGCCCCATAAGGTGTACTTTTCTGTAAAGGCTTCTGACTTTTGTAATATTTTGCAAGTACTTTGCTGAACATTGCCATCTGTTCTGGGATCCAATAAACACAATATTCTCTCCGGAAAAGGACTGAAGTTGCTGCCTTGAAATTCGTGTGGATTGGAGGAGTTTGTGTTCTATTCATGTTTCCATGAGACATATAGTCGATCAATTATTAGTCATTATTATTTATAGCATTGTACAGAAACATGAGCAGGACAGGGAAGGTTGTAGAAAAAAATTAGTCTCTGACCACAAGTTGTCCCGGGGCCCCCAAGGTAGAATACCATAACACCAGCATGACAACATTTCAGAAATAATTGAAACAGCAGAATCATTCTTATCTCTGAACTGACGTGAATAACAGAAATCAGAAAAAAATGTGACCTTTAAGTGTTGGGGAGCAGGACTGGTAACCACACCTTACACCAAAGGCACATACGGGTGGATAAAATGTGTATGAAATCCACAAATGACAAAAAAAAGAACAGATTCTGTAGGACTCAGTCCTGAATACGGCTGCCAGACTCATTCACCTTTCCAACCGCTCCATCTCCGCCACCCCCCCCCTCTGCCAATCCCTCCACTGGCTTCCGATTGCCCAACGGATCAATTTAAAAATCCTAACACTGACGTACAAAGCCGTCCACCATACTGCCCCGAACTACATCACTGACCTAATATCCAAGTACCACCCAACACGCACACTCCGCTCCTCACAAGACCTCCTTCACTCTAGTTCCCTGGTCTCCTCCTCCCATGCCCACCTCCAGGACTTCTCCAGGGTGTCACCCATCCTCTGGAACTCCCTGCCCCAACCCATCAGACTATCACCTACTCTCCTCTCCTTTAGGCGCACCCTGAAAACCCATCTCTTCAGGGAAGCCTACCCCACCCCCTGCTAACTTGCTGACCTCCTCCACTCTTCCTACAACCCCATCCCCCACAGCTATCTCCTCCTGTGCCACCATCCCCTCCCTCCTAGATTGTAAGCTCGATAGAGCAGGGCCCTCGATCCCCTCATGTTTTGCATTGTATTGGTATTGTTCTGTCACATGTTCTGTCCCCCTTTGTAATGTACAGCGCTGAGCGAACTATTGGAGCTTTATAAATACTGTATAATAATAATAATAATAATAATAAAGGTCCCCTTCTAAGTTCTTCCCTTTCTTGTATTTAAAAGATAATTATTATAAGGAAGTTTGTGGTGGTTTTCAGCAAATATTGGGAGAAATCACCTGGACCTTCTTTGATACAAATCAGTAGTGTTAGATTTTAATTACTTCAATGCAGGGCACTTCTACCCCCTTCCTGCCCCTCGGGCACTTCTACCCCCTTCCTGCCTACAGGGCACTTCTACCCCCTTCCTGCCCCTCGGGCACTTCTACCCCCTTCCTGCCCCTCGGGCACTTATACCCCCTTCCTGCCCAGGCCAATTATCAGCTTTCAGCACTGTCACACAATTGCGTGGTCATGCAACACTGTACTCGTATGAAATTTTTATAATTTTTTTGAGACAAATAGAGCTTTCTTTTGGTGGTATTTATTCACCTCTGGGTTTTTTATATTTTTGCTAAACAAACCAAAAACAACTGAAAATTTAGCAAAAAAAAAAACATTTTTTCGTAGTTTTTGTTATAAAATTTTGTAAATAAGTGATTTTTCTCCTTCACTGATGTTCGCTAATGAGGCTGCAGTGATGGGCACTGATAGATGGCACTGATGGACACTGATGAGGAGGCACTGGCAGGTGGCACTGATGGTCATTGACAGGCATCACTGATTGGCACTGAAAGGCAGCACTCATATATGGCATTGATAGGTGGCACTGATATGCAGCACTGATAGGTGGCACTGATAGGCGGCACTGACTGGCACTGTTAGGCATCACTGATAGACACTGGCGGCACTGACAGACACTGATAGGTGGCACTGACTGGCACTGATAGGTGGCACTGATAGGCAGCACTGATAGGCAGCACTGACTGGCACTGATAGGCAGCACTGACTGGCATTGATAGGTGGCACTGAAAGGCAGCTCAGATGGGCACTGATATGTGGAATTGATGTGCACTGGTAGGCTCTGATATGTGACATTGATGTGGCACTGATGGGCACTGGCAGGTGGCATTGATGAGAACTGACAGGTGGCACTGCTGGGGCTACACTGATCATCAGGGCACACTGATCATCAGTGCCCTGATGATCAGTGTACATGTCCCCTCCGAGGAATGATGATTACCGGCTCTCCTCTCGAGCTGTCAGCGGCATAACCGGCATTTCCCTATTTACATGTGATTAGCTGTGATTGGACACAGGTGATCACATGACCGAGCCAACATCTTTAGACTTTTTCCGTTGATCGCCGGGCTGCACGCTCCCGGAGCCACGCATGCGCGGTTAGAGTGGGAGACGTCATATGACATCCTCCCAGAACGAGAGAACCGCCTTGCGCCCGTCATTTCCTTATATGGTGAGCGGGAGGCAGTTAAAGGAAAATCAGCATCTTCTACAAAACAAATATTTCATGAAAACTGAGCTGGTGTGTAAGTCAGTCATCAGATCCGCATGGAGGATCAATGGGTTCCTGTGGCCACACAGAGGGATCGGGAGACTCCATATAACAGCTCTGTGCTCAGTGTATGGAGGAGGTTCCGGTTTCATGGCCACCATTAACCCCTTGAAGACCAATTATGTTCTGGAATGTTTAGTTTAGAAGTTTAAATCAGAATTTTTTGCTAGAAAATTATTTATAACCCCCAAACAATATTTTTTTTTTTAGCAAAGACCCTAGAGAATGAAATGGCGATCGTTTATCAATTTTTATTTGTGCAGCGGTTTTTCAAACACAATTTTTTGGGAAAAATACACTTTAGTAAATTAAAAAAAAAATGCAGAAATTGTAGCCGGCTCATAAAAGCATAATAGTTGTGGTGTAAACCTGTCTTTCTCCATCATCCGTGTCCAAAAAAAACTCTTTTTTCAGATGCTAAATATCTGCCCAGTCAGTATTAGAAGTTGCCACCTGTTCAAAAATGCTTTCCAGCTGTTTTCCATTATATATTGTTTTAGCAAAGACCCTAGAGAATGAAATTTATAATTTTTGGTTTCACATAGTATTTGCGCAGCGGTTTTTCAAACGCAATTTTTTGGGAAAAAATACACATTAGTGAATTAAAAAAAACCCCACAATTTATTCCCCAATATTTTTTTTTGTAAAATATGAAAAAGGATGCTATGGCAATAAAATCAATACCTAACATGTCACGCTTTAAAATTGTGGAATGGCGACAAACTATAGTACTTAAAAAACATCATAGGCGACACTTTGAACATTTTTACAGGTTACCAGTTTAGAGTCACAGAGTAGGTCTAGCACTAGAATTGTTGCTCTCACTCCCAATACCCTCACATGTGTGCTGCGAACATTGTTTACATGTGAATGCACAATTTCCGTATGCGTTCGCTTCTCCTCGTGACCGCGGTGGGATGGGGTGCTTTGAAAAAAAAAAATCTTATTTTTTAATTTTATTTCTTTTTTATTTTTACATTGTCCCTTGTAATAGAAATAAGCATGAGAAGTCCTTTTTAAGAAGAGATCTGGGGGTCAAAAAGACCCCAAACCTCTTCTTTACCTTTAACCCCTCACCTGCTGGACACTTCTACTCCCTTCCTGCCTACAGGACACTTCTACCCCCTTCCTGCCTACAGGGCACTTCTACCCCCTTCCTGCCTACCGGACACTTCTACCCCCTTCCTGCCTACAGGGCACTTCTACCCACTTCCTGCCTACCGGACACTTCTACCCCCTTCCACCCTACAGGGCACTTCTACCCCCTTCCTGCCTACCGGGCACATCTACCCCCTTCCTGCCTACAGGGAACTTCTACCCCCTTCCTGCCTACCGGACACTTCTACCCCCTTCCTGCCTACAGGGCACTTCTACCCACTTCCTGCCTACCGGACACTTCTACCCCCTTCCTGCCTACAGGGCACTTCTACCCCCTTCCTGCCTACCGGGCACATCTACCCCCTTCCTGCCTACAGGGAACTTCTACCCCCTTCCTGCCTACTGGGCACTTCTACCCCCTTCCTGCCTACAGGGCACTTCTACCCCCTTCCTGCCTACCGGACACTTCTACCCCCTTCCTGCCTACAGGGCACTTCTACCCCCTTCCTGCCTACCGGGCACTTCTACCCCCTTCCTGCCCACCGGGCGCTTCTACCCCCTTCCTGCCTACCGGGCGCTTCTACCCCCTTCCTGCCCACCGGACACTTCTACCCCCTTCCTGCCTACAGGGAACTTCTACCCCCTTCCTGCCTACAGGGCACTTCTACCCCCTTCCTGCCTACAGGACACTTCTACCCCCTTCCTGCCTACAGGTCACTTCTACCCCCTTCCTGCCTACAGGGCACTTCTACCTCCTTCCTGCCTACGCCGGGCACTTCTACCCCCTTCCTGCCTACAGGGCACTTCTACCCCCTTCCTGCCTACAAGGCACTTATACCCCCTTCCTGCCTACCGGGCACTTCTACCCCCTTCCTGTCCAGGCCAATTTTCAGCTTTCAGCGCTGTCACACTTTGAATGACAATTGCGTGGTCATGCAACACTGTACCCATATGAAATTTGTATCTTATTTTGAGACAGATAGAGCTTTCTTTTGATGGTATTTAATCACCTCGGGGGTTTTTACATTTTTGCTAAACAAACCAAAAACAACTGAAAATTTAAAAAAAAAAAGTTTTTTTCCTAGTTTTTGTTATAAAATTTTGTAAATAAGTGATTTTTCTCCTTCACTGATAAAGCTGCAGTCATGGGCACTGATAAGTGGCACTGATGGGGAGGCACTGGTAGGTGGCACTGATGGGCATTGACAGGCATCACTGATGGGCACTGAAAGGCAGTTCTCATATATGGCACTGATAGGCGGCACTGACTGGCACTGTTAGGTGGCACTGACTGGCAGCACTGATAGCGGCACTGACTGGCACTGATAGGCGACACTGAAAGGCAGCTCAGATGGGCACTGATATGTGGCATTGATGAGCACTGACAGCTGGCACTGCTGGGGCTACACTGATTATCGGAGCACACTGATCATCAGTGCCCTGATGATCAGTGTACATGTCCTCTATAAGGAATGTCGATTATCGGCTCTCCTTTCCTCACAAGCTGTCACCAGGCACCCCGATCCTAGGGATGTGCTCTACCTGCCGAGGGATGCCCAGCTGTCTACCATTGGGCCTAACATCGGCCCGCTTCGCACCCCACAACACATGAGAATGACTCAGGATTCGAACGAGGTGGACAACACCACCTGAAAGAAAAGAAACAAGCAAAAAACACATAACAAACAAAAAATCCTAGCACAAGGAGCCACAGACAAAAAGACGCCCCCCAACTAAACCTCACACCCTTAACAAATGAGGGTGAATGTAAAGTCTAAACCTGTCTGATTCCCAGTGCCCAAGATGCCGATCCACCAATATTTAGGATGTAGTATGTTACATGTTCCACCAGTATTTAGGATGTAGCATGTTACATGTTCTACCCAGGGGCGGACTGACAACTCATGGAGCCCCCGGGCAATAGGGGATCATGGGGCCCCTGTGTCCTCACCCACAATCAAACCACACCCAAAAAAGCCTATGAAAAGGTACCAGGGGCATCTTATGGGGCCCCCTACTGACCCAGGGCCCTCGGGCAGTGCCCAAGTTCCCAAATGTTCCCAAATGTTCCCAAAGTTCCGACCCTGGTTCCACCAGTATTTAAGATGTAGCATGTTACATGTTCCACCAGTATTTAAGAAGTAGCATGTTACATGTTCCTCCAGTATTTAGGATGTAGCATCTAACATGTTTCAGCTCCTGCCCCCCAGATCCCCCCCAGTGTGACAGCAGGCAAGGTATCTTCTCCCCACACCTGCTGTCATAATTCAAAAACAGCGTGGTCACACGGGGCTCTGCCCACATGGCCACATCACTCAATCACAGCTTCCTGTGAATTAATGGCACCTGAGTGCGCCTGCAAAAGTTAGCACGTTTTTGCGTGGTGCAGGAAAAAATTTGATTTTGTGTGTGTTACCGCACTGCACCCGGTGTGAACAAGCCCTGAAATGTAGTCTGTGAAGCACAGCTCAGTGGTCTGTAGTTGTAAATAGATCGGAAATGATCAGAAAGGTCCCGATCACAAGTAATGATTGGGACATTTCCGCAAGGCACCAGTAAATGTGTCGGGAGCACGCAGGGTGTTCGGCTACTTTTAGTGTGCAAATATGTGGCCACTGGTATCAAGGCCCAACCACCGAGAGGCCGAATATTTGTGTACCATTGATGCCAACACGTCAAGGTTATAAATGAACCCTCAAAAAATTGAGTTTTATACTAAAACTGTCTCATGATACCAAACCGGTGTGTCAGTCCGCCATGTATGCTGGCCGGCTGGTCCTGGTACAAATCCACCCACAGTAGATGAATAATATTCCATGAGGACAATTCCCCAGAGTTAGGAGAACTTGTGTTATTACAGAACAATATGAGATGGCAGAAGTTCTTTAATCCTAAGTTTTGAAAAAGGTTTATGCTAAAAGAGCCACAAATGAAGAGAATCAGAAAGTGGTGAGACTAGACAGGAAATAATGGAGTGAATATAAAAGGTTGGGCAATACAAAGGGAGACCTACAGTATGAGCGGACACCATTCACTATTTGTAGTCTGCAATATAAAAAGAAAGACTGAGACCATTATGTCTAAACATTGGCCAATCGTGAAGAAAAAACCCCCCAAAAAAACCAAAAACCACAACCATTTTACAGAAAGTTTCCTTGGTTGAAATGATTGTGGTTCCCCAGTGTTGCAAATCCACCAAAAATATGAAATGTATTAATTTGGATAGAATGAACCCCGGCTTAATAAATTTTCTCTCAAAAAATAACTATTGTTGTTTCCACATTGGATGAGAAGGTATTAGGTATAAAAACGTTTATGTCACGTAAAACCACCCATGTGACATTCTGATGAGCGTTGTGATGAGTGAATTGGGCAGGGTGTGGAGGAAGCAAAAACCCCCAGCCTGAAATCTGCAAATTCCTATCATAGTGAAAAACCCAAAAAAGTCGATAGGAGCTAAATCTTGTCATCTATTTCTGGCCTTTCTGGCCACGGGGGACACGTACCAATGCAAAAAAAAACAGAAAGAAAGAAAGAAAAATACCTTTCAGCAGGGAGCAGCTCTGACTTAAAGCAAGCAAGACTTAAAGAGCAAAAATGTAGACAGAAATGTATTATTTTATATATATACAGTGCCTTGAAACAATATTCCTCCCCCTTGACATTTTCCCCATGTTGTCATGTTACAGCCAAATATGTAAATGTATTTTATTGGGATTTTATGTGATAGAGCAACACAAAGTGGCTCATACAGTAATTGTGAAGTGGAAGGAAAATGAGAAATGGTTTTCAACATTTTTAAAAAACAAAATCTGTGAAAAGTGTGGTGTGCATTTGTATTCAGCCCTCTTTACTCTGATACCCCTAACTAAAATCCAGTGGAACCAATTGCCTTCAGAAGTCACCTAATTAGTAAATAGAGCCCCCCTGTGTGCCATGTTCTCAGTATAAATCCAACTGTTCTGTGAAGCCCTGAGAGGTTTGTTAGAGAACATTAGTGAACAAACAACATCATGAAGGCCAGGGAACACACCAGACAGGTCAGGGATAAAGTTGTGGAGATGTTTTAAAGCAGGGTTAGGTAAAAAAAAAAAATATCCATTATCCCAAGCTTTGAACATCTCATGGAGCACTGTTCAATCCACCATCCGGAAATATAATGAGAGTATGGCACAACTGCAAACCTACCAAGACATGGCCATCCACCTAAACTGACAGGCCGGACAAGGAGAGCATTCATCAGAGAAGCAGCCAAGAGGCCCATGGGAATTCTGGAGGAGCTGCAGAGATCCACAGCTCAGGTGGGAGAATCTGTCCACAGGAGAACTATTAGTCATGCACTCCACAAATCTTGCCTATATGGAAGAGTGACAAGAAGAAGCCTGTCAGGGATCCGGGTATGACCAGAAATGTGTGGACTGACACAGGGAAGTAACAGGCTTCAGGAATGATATAATAATATAATTTACTATTAGCCACCCAAATATACAACGCTCAGTAAATAAACCAACCTTCCACTAATCTTAGTATGTGCAGGAAACACAGGCGTAGTCGGGGCTGGAGAGGTGGAATGGTCAGACTGGCCATATGGTTCTGTTAACGACCGTCTGGTGGTACCTCTAGCGGTCCTCAGGACAGGATTCCCCAGGGCGTGGAGTCTAAGTCCCAGTCTGCTTATTCACCAGGGCCCCTGATGGTGGGGATGGACTTGGAGCAGACAGGAACCAGGTCGCGGCCCCTGAGTATACCTGCCCGTGGTAGAGGGATCCGCCAGAGGTATATGCAGGTAGGAAGCCTGATGTGAATAGGCAGAAGGTGTGAGCAGGGATGGCTGGATCCGTGCAGGATGGATGGATGGACCGTCTGGGTAGCGTAAGGTGTAGTCAGGCAGGCCAGGTCAGCAACGTGCGGGCAGCGAGGTACCGAAGGAGCAGGCAGAAAATAGTCAGGGTCACAAGCCGGGTTCAGTAACTCACAGGCAGCGCAGTACAGAGGATCAGGCAGAGAATGGTCAGGGTCACAAGCCAGGTTCAGTAACTCACGGGCAGCGCAGTACAGAGGATCAGGCAGAGAATGGTCAGGGTCACAAGCCAGGTTCAGTAACTCACGGGCAGCATGGTACAGAGGATCAGGCAGAAGGATGGTCAGGGTCACAAGCCGGGTTC